AAGATACAACCTTGAACCTGTTATAAAGTGTGACACATTATAGCAGTCAAACTCCTGATCTTGATTTTAGGATTATTTTAAGCCTCACCCAAGAGAGATGAGCTACAAATGGCTGAAATACCCTTCAATGGAGGAAGAAGAAATTACAAAGCCATTTTATTCCTTGACCTTGATAGAAACCCAGTCCGCAGATCTCTAAGGAGATTGACAGCCAGATTTTTGTGTTAAAGCTGACCTATACTTAAATCAACAACCCAAAGGTAGCATATCTAGACCTTTAGCTTGAAAGGTTCAGAAAACTGCATAAAAATGACATTCTGTATAAGAATCTAAGTGGGCCAGAGTCCTAATTTGATCCTAGACTTGATTTGGGGCATCTTTACCCAGAATCTCGCTCTGCAAGGGGCACCAGGAAGAAGTGTGTGTGGGAGAGAGTGGAAGAGAGAGGGAGAGAGAGAAAGAGAGAGAGATAGATAGAGAGAGAGAGAGAGATTGTAGACTTTCTTTCAGCTTTCTCATTGTTACTATTCCATGATAAAGGAGACCATATTAGTTTCTCACACATTAAATGCTTTTCTAAGTCGAATTTAAAAGAGAAAATTTGGCAAGGTATAATATTTGGGAGGGTGAATTTTTCTGGCTTGATTTGTCTGGCCTTAATGGGGGGCAGACTTGTGATCCTGGCTCCTTTTTCCTTAATGAGACCCTGGCTGTTAAGATGTTCTAAACTGCAATTCTTCATCTGTGAAATATGGAAAATAAATGAATGCACCCAGGATTGATGTGATATAGAAGTAAGGTCATAGAGGTGAAAAACTTAGCATCTCTATGCCCATAGGAAGCAGTTAATAGTAGTAATTACCATTACTGGTTTTATGTGGATGCATAAAAATCATATAGAAGAATCTTGCTTATTTATGGCTGTGGTGCATTCATAGCAGAAGCTGCCCTGGCACCCTGCATGCCACATACTGATCCCAGGCCACTATGAGAACCAGTACCAGTAGCATCCATTTTCTGAGCCTCTCTTTTCCTTTGACCAATTTCATCCCCAAATAACCCAGTCTTCACTGAATGCATTTTGTAATGTGTTCAATGAAGATTAGTATCATCCTTGGGCCATAGAACAGTATGCTGCTTGCTCTGACCCAAATGGGCATAAAAACATTAGGACTTAATTTTATTGAATTTGATAGCTGATAATGCCAAAAAGAACTTGATTTGTCTCCAGAAAAGCCAAATTTTCAATCTGCAGAAGGACTATCAAGTTCTGATTCTAATCTTATTAGTAGTCAGGTGGCAGAGGAGCTGAGAAAAGCAGACGGAGACCATATGAAACTTGAAATTCATAGAAAGTTGTTGGTTAGGTCTGGGAAGGCGGCTCAGTGGTAGAGTGCTTGCCTTGCATGCCTGAGGCCCTGGATTCAGTTCCTCAGCCCCACATAAGCAGAAAAAGCTGGAAGTGGCACTGTGGCTCAAGTGGTAGAGTGCTAGCCTTGAGCTGAAGAGCCCAGGGACAGCGCCCAGGCCCAGAGTTCAGGCACCATGACTAGCAAGAAAGAAAGAAAGAAAGGAAGAAAGAAAGAAAGGAAGAAAGAAAGGAAGAAAGAAAGAAAGAAAGAAAGAAAGAAAGAAAGAAAGAAAGAAAGAAAGAAAGAAAGAAAGAAAGAAAGAAAGAAAGAAAGAAAGAAAGAAAGAAAGGAAAGAAAGAAAGGAAGAAAGGAAGGAAGGAAGGAAGGAAGGAAGGAAGGAAGGAAGGAAGGAAGGGAGGGAAAGAGATTGGTTACATGTAAGAACCTATTTATGGTTCTCCATTTTCTCTTCAGTAAAAATTAGATAGTGGCTCCAAAGATAGGATCAAAATTATTATTGCTATTTCATGCTTAAAATTCTTTTGACACAGCCAGGCGCTGGTGGCTCACGACTGTAATCCTAGCTACTCAGGAGGCTGAGATATAAGGATTGCAGTTCAAAGCCAACCTGGGCAGGAAAGTCTGTGAGACTCTTAGCTCCAATTAACCACCAGAAAACTGGAAGTGGAGCTGTGGCTCAAAGTGGTAGAGTGCTAGTCTTGAGCAATAGAGCCCAGGGACAGTGCCCAGGCCCTGAATTAAGCCTCATAACTGACATAAATAAAAATAAATAAAATTTATTTGATGCAAAAATAAATTTTTTAAATGTAAAAGTACAAGGATGAAAATACTAAATGAATTATGAATCTATCATAAACTATGTAATTTCCAACACAGTTCATGGAAAGGTATGTAATTCTTTCTTTCTCCCTCTTTTTCTCTGTTTCTTGAGTCTGGCCTCTTAATCTTCCTGCTTCAGTGCCCCCAGTATTAAGAACACATGCATATAGCACCACACCCAACTCTGAAGATGTATAGTTCTGAAAAGATTGTTCTGACACCTTCTCTCACTCTAATGTACTTGTATAATTTATTATTTTTTTACACTTACATGACTTTTAGGTGTTTTTGGTATAGAGTTTTGAAAATCTGCTTTGCATTAATTGCTGCTTTAGTTCATGAGCCTATAGTAGTAACTTATTTATACTCAGATACTTATAGAGTATTGCTGGATTTTTTTCTATGTTAAATGAATTAAATGTTGTGTGTGTGTGTGTGTGCACATGTGTGTGTGCATGCGTGTCAGTATTGGGGCTTGAACTTAGACTTGGGCACTGTCCCTGAGCTTTTTTGGTCAATGTTAGCACTCTATCACTTGAGCCATACCTCTACTTCTGGCTTTTTGGTGGTTAATTGGAGATTAGAATCTCATAGACTTTCCTACTTATGCTGGCTTCGAACCACGGCCCTTATATTTCAGCCTCCTGAATAGCTAGAATTACAGATGAGAGACACCAGTGTCTAGCCTGAATTATAAACTCTTAATGCCTTTTGCTCCATATAAATTTTGGGGTTGCTTCTTCTATTTCTAAAGTAATGAGGTTGGAATATTGATAGGTATTGCATTGAATTTGTAGATAGCCTTTGGCAATATTGCCATTTTCATGATGTTAATCCTCCCAATCCAGGAGCATGGGAGGTTTTTCCACTTCCTTAGTTCTGCTTTAATTTCCTTTTTCAGGTTTTTAACGTTTTCATCATAGAGGTTCTTCACTTCTTTAGTTAACTCCTAGGTATTTTATTTTATTTTTTTTTTTTATTTTTTTGTTGGTCGTGGGGCTTGAACTCTGGGCCTGGGCGCTGTCCTTCAGCTCTTCAGCTCAAGGCGAGCACTCTACCACTTGAGCTACAGCGCCACTTCCGGTTTTCTGTTGGTTTATTGGAGATAGGAGTCTTGCAGTCTTTCCTGCCCGGGCTGGCTTTAAACCGTGATCCTCAGATCTCAGCCTCCTGAGTAGCTAGGATTATAGGTGTGAGCCACCAGCGCCCGGCGGTATTTTATTTTTTGTAGGGCTATTACAAAAGGAGTTGATTACCTTTTTACCAAAATTGGTATTCAAGGTGAGGAAAATCCAAGAGCAATAATGCTAACCCACTCCACTACTGTAGCTGATCCTGTAACTTCTTGGTTCCATTATGGAGACATCTATAGAGTTTTTAGTTAATCTGCTCATATTAAATATGTTTTTTGATTCAGCTGTATTGTATCTAACTGTATATCAGTACATCTTAAATTCTCCTATCTACATTTAACCTTCTCTATTAATTTTGTAGATTAGATAGATGGCTTGAGAGGCAGAACGGAAGCGTGAAGTCTTGAGTGTGCATAACCTGAACACAGATCCCACACCTGGAGACCTGTGCACTTGCTGCATGGGGCACTGTGTCAGCTGAGCACAGAGGCTGCTGTCTAAGTGTGGGCTCTGTCTCTGAGGTGGAGCTTATCTACATCCAGAAAGACATAGTTTCCATTCCTCCTCTTGCTTTAGTGAACCAAACAGGAATACCCCCAAATCCTGGATTTGCTTTGGTGCCTTCTGTCTAATTAGGAGGGAAGGACTATTATGTCCAGTATTATCAAGAAAGTGTGTGGCTAAGTCATTTGGACTTACTGATATAGTGCTTATGCTGGCGCCATGGTCAGATAGAAATCAGGGTTTCAAAAGGCTAGGCAGGGTTTAAAAAGTCTAACATCTTTTATGTGAAGAACAAACAGATGTTTAGTAAAAACCTATTCTCCATGTGTTGATCTGAGGTAAGGATTGTGTTCAATCTCATGTGAAGATGGGCCAGGCCTGGTTCCCCCAAGCAGAAATAGTGGAGGAGCTGGGGCAGGAACAAGATGAACAAGCAGAACTGGTTTTTATACATGAGGGTAGTGAGGAGGACTGAGACACAGAAAGGTTGAGGACAGGCAACTAATCTCAGGGGAACCATAAGCAAGCCTGCATGAGCAAGTTAAGCATTTCACCTTAGGTTTTAATTATAAATCATTATTTCCCATACCTTCCTAGTAACCACAGTTAGAGTATGACCACCTATGTTTATGAAGTCACTAGGCCTTCAAGAACTCCCTTCTAGTTCAATAGCTGACACCAGAGTGGCAGCGTATATGGAGATGTGTGTTATGTGTCTTGTCTTACCTGAAGCCCCATGACAGAGCACCTGACCCAATTCAGAGCTCTGTGTGAAGTGGGGTTGATCATCCTGGCAGCCTGGCTTCAGGGACTCCTTGTGGCCTACAGTTTCCTTGCTTCTGCTCCTCCAGAACCCCAGTACCTCTGATGCAGACATCTTCAGCGTGGGCCCAACTCCAGACTCAGAACACAGCTGCCCTTTGCCCAGGGACAGCCTTCCCTTAGCCTTCTTGCTGATCCAGCTGGTCCTTCATTTCAGCCCCAGGAGTCCCCTGGTCAGCAGTGGGATCCTCCTGCTCTCACCAATGTCAGATGCTAGATTGTCTTGTATGCTCTATCTGGGAATCTAGGAAGAGGCCCAAAGCACTAGCTGATTGCCAGAGCCTTTCCCTTTCCTGCTTAGTGGATCCTTATGGGAGAGGTAATGGGGCCTATCTCCTTGTTCCTAAAGGTGGTGGAGAACCAGCAACTATTCAGTGCCCTCAAGGCTTTGCTGGAGGACTTCCGCTCAGAGCTGCGGGAGGATGAACATGCGAGGCTACGGCTACAGCAGCAGTATGCCAGCGACAAGGCTGCCTGGGATGTGGAGTGGGCCGTACTCAAGTGCCGCCTGGAACAGGTACCTGCCTCATTCATCACCATGATATCTCGGCTGTCAAGGGTCAGGAAGACATTTCTCCACTGTGGCTCTGGTCCAGTGACAAGGACAAGAGCGACTCATTAAAGGCCCAACCTTCTCAGGACCCTCATGTTCTCTAGGTCTGAAATATGCCCCCACCAGCCAGCATTTAATATCCCATTATTTGTCCTTTCTGCACTAACCAAGGGTATAGGGATCCCTGTCAAAAGAATGGTGGTCTGATGTCATGCTGACATCACCATGCTGATGTCATCGGCTGAGCTAAAAGAAATTCTAAATAGGAGAAAGCCAGAGCAAACTGGCTCCATGATCTCTGCAAAGGGGGATACATACTGTCCTTTAGAATTTCCAAAGTACCGAAAAGAGCCTGTCGACCTTCCATTGCATGCCCCAGATACCTCTTCAACTTCGCTCCTTTTAGTTCTAGGGAAATGAGACCCAGAAGAGGCATCTTGCATCAGGTCTCAGAGCTATTTGGTGCTGGGGTAGGAGGAGAGCCAGGTGACTAGCATCCCCAGGCTACAATCTAGGCAGCCATGTTAGGACCAGACTAAGAAACAGTCAGTGCTAAGATTTTCTTTCCTGGAAAGCCTTCCTTCAGTTTGCTGCTCCAGGTGCTTCCAGAACCTTGATCCTGTGTGTCTGACCATCTACTTTCTAGGGCCTGTTTTGAGGCGAACACTAAAGTAGTTGATTTTATATAAATTGTCTTGGTCATGAAAGAAAAAGGAGAAATCTTCTAAGTGGCTTTAATAAAAGATCAAAGGGCCTGTCATGTCCAAAGAAAGTAGTTCTTCTAGTATACATTTGTACACATGCACTGCCACCTGGCCCAGGTACTACTAATCCACCTGCATTGTTCTCAGGTACCATTAGTCTACCCACATTGTCAGTGCCTTCAGGTACTATTTTACCTATATTGCCACCAGGCCCCAGTAACATTGGTGTTGGGCTGGATCAAGGAACACAATCTTCTAAGCCAAGTCCATCCAGTGATGGATGGAATTGTACCTGCTGTGGCTCTTGCCTACTGCCTGCCAAGAGATTCTTACCAGATGCTCTGTTTATCTTAGTACACAGCTTGCGGAGTCAGCTGTGGAGGAGGAATAAGTAAGGATGCTCTCTGATGAGCTTAAGCCTATTTAAAAATATGTGTACAAGGGGAGGAGTGAAGCTAAATAAGACATAAGTGTAGCTAAAGAAGGGAGATACAATCTTTGAATCTATCCAGTTTCAAAACATTTCATCTTTGTTTTAGAGACACCTGGTATCTACCTCCATGGTTGCTACAAGTAAAGGCTCCAAGACAGAGTCACTATACAGCAAGAAACACAGCCAGGACTCCAAACCTAGACCCCAGATAGTACCAGGGCAAGTTCATCTTCTGCCCAAATTATTCAGGGACTTTCTTTAATATGTGCAGTCTGGGAAGCAATGACACCCATTTGTACTCATTCCATCTTAATCCTCTTCTCCTTAAATGCAAAACAGAAATTTGATTGTTTCTCTCAGTGGAGCCCCTATTACATCATTTCCTAAATCTCTGATTCTTTCAGCTGATTTTTAAATCAGACCTCATTCTACATACTGAGGATCCCGCAATCAGCAAGAAGTTCCTTGAAAGGGGTCTCAGTACCATGGGAGACCCAGACCAGAGCTGTCATTTTTAGTGCAGAAAATGCCCACAGCTTGTTCACAGGCCCATGGGGGAATTGGAGCAAGTCACATGCTTCAGCTTGATGGCTGAGGTGGGTTAGGTGAAAGTCAGCCAAGCATGGATCTCAAAGGATGGATAGGAGGGAAGAATATTTTTGATGAAAGGGAGAAAGGAAGAAAGAAAGAAAGAAGGGAGGGAGAGAAGAAAGGGAAAGAAAGGAAGGAAGGAAGGAAAAGAAAGGATACCATGTATACAAGAGCATGACTCATTTGAGGAACTTGAGGAAAGACAAGTTTTGAAAAATTTGATACTGTAATCTCAATTTTACATGCAAGTAGATGTCCTTCTCTGTAAGGTGATTTTGGCTTTAAGGTAGACGATAATTAGGAACGATCAGAATTGAATGGATTAACCTGGATAGATTAATGCATTGGTTACTAGATTAATAGATTGAATTCAAGGAGCTCTGAACTAAAGTAGAAAGAAGCTGACCACCTGTATCCCTAGCTACTCAGGACACTGAGATCTGAGGTTTGAAGACAACCTAGGCAGAAAAGTCCCTAATATTCTTATTTCTAATTAACTACCAAAAAGCTGAGAAGCTGTGGCCCAAGTAGTAGAATGCCCATCTTGAGCAAAGAAGCTAAATCTAAGGAACAGGTTCCAGGCCCAGATTCAAGCCCTAGTACCAGCACCTCCCCCCACCCCCCCAAAAAAAAAAGTCATTTCTTTCTTTTTTTCTCCCCACCCCTCACTCCCTGTGGTGTTAGATTGAACTCAGGGTCTTGTGCATACTAAGCTCACTCTCTACCTCTGACCCTGTAGCACCTCCTTACTCAGTCTTTATGTCCACTAAACCTTCATATATCTCAATTATACGTGTAGACAAGTCCCATAGAACGCACACATCTTTCCATTTCTCAATGCAATGTTGATGGATATTCCGGAATTAAGACTGAGGAGACTTTTGCTTCCTTGAACTGCCCAAGGGGTCCATTGCACAGGTCTGGGACCCTGGATTGCAGAGAAAAGACGTCCACAGCTTCTTGAAAGGCTCTTGCAGTGGGATAAGTGAGAGTAGTATTGACCCTGGAAATGGCGAGGATCTGAGTCAAACACCAGAAGGCAGAAGCAGGGCCTGCTGACCTGTGAAAGTAGTTGTGGAGTGGAAAGTAACTGGCATGGCTGGCTCAGATCTGTAGTGCAAGTGCCTGGCAGATGGTGCCACCTGCCAAGACAGAAATAAGGGGGAGAGGGTGGTTGGGCTAGAAAGGAAAGGAGCTAAATTTGTGGTTTCTGTCAATAGAGAACTGGAATGTAGAGAGCTTGGCTGAAGACATATGTACAGTCTTGTGTTGCTAAACAATAGGGACATGTGCTGTTAAACTTGTGATTAGGAGATACTGTCTTTATATGAAATCAGAGAGTGTATTTCTACAAACTGAAATGGCTAGTGTTTGTTAGGCAGAACAACCTTTTGGGAGCACCATCATGTCGTGGTCCGTCATTGATGGGGACATCTTTATGCAGCACACGGCTGGCCTGAATGAGAACACTGAGGTGGTGGTAAATCCAGAGCTGTGAGTAGAATCTCCCAAGATTAGGCATAGAATAAGAAGAGTTCGGAAGTGGCACTGTGGCTCAAGTGGTAGAGCGCTAGCCTTGAGCTGAAGAGCTGAGGAACAGCTCTCAGGCCAAGGGTTCAGGCCCAACGACCAACAACAACAACAACAACAAAAAAGAGTTCGATGAGGGAACTTGAAATATCTTATTTTCAAGAAACTGATAGAGGAAGAAAAGATTGAAAGGGACAACCAGAGAAATGAGTGGAAATGGAAGAGCAAATGTCTCAGAAGCCAAAGGGAGCAAGAAACTACCAAATTCCAGGAAAATGTCAATATATCAAGTGCTCTTGAGAAATTAGGGTGGACAAGGTTAACAAGTTTTGCTGGACTCCATAATTAGGAAATGACTGGAAACACTGACAACACTTCTCCCTGGGCAGGGGTGGGGGATGAGACTGATGTAAATTGCTGCATGCTATAAAGATGTGAGCTTAACTGTAGAAGAAAGGAAGAGAGAAGAAAGACACTAAGTGAAAGGGTTGGGGTCATGGGGGTGGGCTGTGTTGTTTTTAGAAGTCAGAGGACCCTTTGAGGAAGCAGCAGTAGTGGACTTCAAGCAGAGACCAGCACAGCAATGCAATGTAGGGGTGCTGATACGGAGGAATTTGTAGGTAGAACAAGGAGTCAACTTCACTGTCTCTGTGACTCTGCCTTACAAGGGTGCTCTGGTGCCAGGGATCAGGTCAACTACTTGAGAAGACACCTAAGAGGAAGAAACGAGTTGCAAGAAAGCATCTCGTTGTGTGAGATTTTCCACAGATTCTCCATTTTCCACTGAGGACAGCAATGCATATTTCTCCTGATTTTGTTTCTGTGTTCTCTTTCTACTTAAGAAAAAGTCTTATTTTCCCCAAATATACATTTTATAACCAGTTGAGCAAGAAGCAACCCATTGGTTCTGCTCTTCACCTCCATCTGTTACTATCCCAGCCTGGAGAATTTACCTGCTACCCAGCCCCAGGCTCTTCTCTCTGATTCTTCTTCGGTTCAAGGGGCAGAACAATGACTGCCCACTTCCATTATAGAGGTTCTGTTTGGTATTAATTTTCTTCCCACATGTCTCTCGTAGAAGACAACTATCTGTCTAACCAAGCAAATCCTAAGCTACCTGATACAGCAGACAGGCTTTCTGAATAATACTATTCTGGCCTCCAATTTGAATAACTGGTTTCAAAACAGTTAAAAGTATCTGTCATGGATAATGAGCTAAGAATAGTTTTTGAATTACTCCTTTTAAGAATGTTAATTGAACTCCATATATGAATAGTGAGGAAGGTAATATAATTTGGAGACCATTTACAGTCGCAGTTAAAACTCACCTAGTTTCTAGTGCCAACTCTTGTTACTAACTGATCATGTTCATAAGCAAGTGCCTTAAGCACTCTGAGTGCACATTTCTTTATCAATGAATTGGGAATAAGATCTGTACCTAAAGGATTGCTGTAGAAACTAAATGGAAAAAATTATACAAAAGGTCTTTCTTTGGAAATTGTTAAACCAAAATATTTTAAACTTCTGCACTTAAATAAATACAAGAGGCTGCTTATCAGAATGAATAAACAGGCACAGAGAGTAGACTATCATTGGATAATATCATTGGGTGGTATCATACAGTGGTTGCTGTAGGTTTTCCTTGGAGTTATTACTGTAGTTGACTTTGCATACTGAGTGAGGACCATACAGCCGTACATTGCTGTTGTTCCCATCCTCTGTATCTTTGCTGTTTTTACTTCTGCATATTCTGTGAGCACGCACTATATCACAACAAGTTTTTCTCTAGACAGTAGAGTTTGAAATCAATTAAAAAAGAAAATAGTTTTTTTGTTATTGTTTTTGTTGTTCTATTGCTCCTTTTTTTTTGGGAGGGGTGGTAAATCAGTGTCTGTTGGTCTCATTCCTTCTATCTGAAAAAGCTCCTTTATCATGGAATTAAAGTGGAGGTCTGCTGGCAATACGGTTTTTTTTTAAAAGATATTTGTTGGAAAACATTTTTCCTTTTTTTTTTTTTTTTTTAGTCAGTCATGGGGGCTGAACTCTGGGCCTGGGCACTGTCCCTCAGCTCTACAGCTCAAGGCTAGCGCTCTACCACTTGAGCCACAGCACCACTTCCATTTTTTTCTGCTTATGTGGTGCTGAGGAATTGAACCTAGGGCCTCATGCATGCAAGGCAAGCGCTCTACCACGGAGCCACCTTCCCAGCCCCTTTTTCCTTTATTTTTGTAATGTGTTATCTCTAGGCACAGCTTCTATCAAGTTTGACTTATTTTTGCGCTTTAAAGATGGTACTCTATCCATCTTCTGACCTGATAATCCCTGGTGAGAAGTCTTTAGTGTTCTAATCTTTGGGGAGATGAGACGGTGTAGACACCGTTCTAGGAAAAGAGCACGTAGAAAAAAAGGAAGCTGCCGCTCTGTGTTCTTGTTGCATCAGGATGTTTCTTTCATGGGCATCCAGAAGAAGGGGGAGAAGCACTAGAATTGATAGTGTTGGAGACTTAAACACCTATGCTGTAATACTAGTGCCTTTCTGGGTAATGTGCCTTTTTTCTTTTTTTTGGTAAGATTTTCTCTTTTGCTTTTTACCAGTTTGGATGAATAACATATGAAGATTTGTTTTGTTTAGTATTTATCCTCTGGGGTATTCAACAAGTACTGAGGACTATTAGGTTCTATTGCTGTTCCATCTTCCATGCCCAGTTTCATGTACAGCTATGATATAGGGACATCCTTGATACCTGCCCTCAAGGGTCTGCCCAGACACACAGAGGAGACAGTTGAGCCTGGCATGGAGAACCAAGAAGCTGGTCATGGGAAGCTCTTGGGCTCGCTGCTCAACATTCTGTGAGACACTCTGTGTTGGATATTCTTAATTTAGACTTATAAAAAAAATTTCTTTGTCTATGTGCTTGGTCCAATCTTGGTGGAAGTGTACTTCCAGGAATCCGATGCCAATGTCCTGTTTTTCTTTGTCTTCTCTAATGCTGGATTTGTCAGGAAGGAGTTCCTAAGTCTTCTCTCTTTGACAGCTGGAAGAGAAGACTGAGAAAAGCTTGGGGGAGCTCGATGTTCCCGCTGAGGGCAAAGGGGCCCTGAAGACAGAGAGAGAGGTGCACCAGAAGCTCCTGGCTGATAGCCACGGCCTGGTCATGGACCTGCGCTGGCAGATCCACCACAGAGAGAAGAACTGGAACCGTGAGAAGGTGGAACTCCTTGAGCGTCTGGACAGGGAGCGACAGGAATGGGAGCAGCAGAAGAAAGACCTCCTGTGGAGGATAGAGCAGGTAAGCATGAGAGTCCAGGCAGCATGCAGATGCTCAGTGGCTCCCGGGGGGGTGGGGGAGGGAGCCAAGAACTTAGAACGAAAGGAAATCAGCTGTTCAGTAGTCCTTCATACATCAGAATATCTCATGGCATACAGATGACGAGGGGACTTCATGTTAAAGACCTTCCACTTATGGCATGGCATTTCATTGCAAAGTTTGTGTACTTGCAGGGAATTGGGAGAAACTTTTTAAAGGAATTTGAAGACTAAACTCAAAAGATGAGGTTATTTCAGGTCATATTCAGAAATTTCTGCCAAAAAGCAAACTAACATTTCAGTTTGCCACTGAAGACTTGGTCACAGTGACTGCTCCAGCTTGAATAGAATTCTTGTCATTAGTGAAGAAATTGCTAAATTAAGTCAGAAGTTGCTGTGTGCTACTGACTGCACCTGCTGTGGGTATTGCTGTGCTGCAATTAGATAAGACCATAGTCAAGGGAGATAGCTGGTAGTTCATCGTCGTCAGCTAAATAAATGATTCAGAAACTCAGATGAATATGCGGAAAAGAGGGGGAGTTGTTTTTCTACTACCCAGATAATCATCCTCTGCATTGCATCCGACTTAGACCAGCTTGCATAACTGAGCTAAGACAGCTTGCTTGTGTTCCTGAATGGCATACAGATTTGATTTCCACATTACACTGATGAAGACTTGGAATTCCTTCCTTGGCTGGATTTTTCTTTTTCTTTTCCTTTTTTAACCTAGCGTTCAATTTCTTTATTGCAGCCTGTCACACACATTCACAAGCACTCAAAAAGATGCATTAATCAATAAGAAACAGAGATCAGGAAAAATAACTTCATTGCTCCATTATAAATCCTACCTGATTTATGAAGGAGTTGTTGAACATGTGCTCTGTTATCCAGTCATGGTGCCTGTTATATAAGAACAGTGACACGGGTGGGCAATGGTGTTAGAGAGAGGAAGAAGGAAAAGACCTGCAGCCTCTGGCACAGAATCCATTGAGAGGAAGAAAAGGAGCAGAGCTCTTCCTCAATTAGATCACCTATATGGGTGAGTCACCTTGCTAACATTTGATATGGCCCCACTTAAAAATTCCTCAGATACTATCAGGAGGTGAGTCGGCACTTCCTGTTTGGCTTGGAAATGCAGCTCTGTGAAGAGCTTAAATCCTGTGCATCTGTGCCAGTTGAACGAGTCAGAGTTAGGTGGGCGCCTGGTGCCCGTGGCTCACTCCTATAATCCTAGCTACTAAGGAGGCTGAGATCTGAAGATCATGGTTCAAAGCCAGGCCAGGCAGAAAGTCTGTGAGACTCTTATCTCCAATAAAAACCACTAGAAAACTGGAAGTGGTGTTGTGGCTCAAGTGGTGGAGCACTTGCCATGAGCTGAAGAGCTAAGGGATAGGGCCCAAGCCCAGAGTTCAAACCCCGTGACCGACAAAAAAAAACAGAGGTGGGAATTTTAGAGCTAAAAGTAACATCAATTTGTACAAAATTGGTCACCAGTATATTATACCTACCTTGAATTTTCCACTGTCTCAGTAGTCCCAGGCAGCGTGGTAGCAGGGACTTTCCTGCTTGGCCTCTGCCAAGAAAGATCCCTCACTTCCTATGTCCCTCATGTACCCCAGTGGGATCATCATGTTCCCTGCTGTGGCCTTTTGATTGTCCCATTTGCCTGTGAGCCATAGTGGCTTGTTTATTTTGTCACAGACTTCATTCACTTGAAAGACACACATTAGTGTAAGTTAATATTCAATGTGGGGGGAGTGAGAAATTTCTAGCAGAGGATAAATTCGTAAGCCACATTTGAATGGCATTCACTTTTGAAGTCAGAGGAGTCACCTTCTCATTTTGGAAAGTTAAGATTGGTCAGACCCAGGACCTGTTTCCTGGTCATCAGTGTGGTAGCAGTTCTCCCATAGGAGCCGCCCCAGGGCTGACCTGGAGCAGCGTGGGTCACAGCACAGGAGAAACGTGCTCCCTGTACCTATGAGGTGCACCTTTAAAAAAGGTGTTCCCTTTAGAAAAGGATTCTTTATTTTTGTTAACAATGAGCAGTGCTGCAGACATGAAATTTGGCTTTCAAAAAGAGGTAGATTCTAAGACATCCTATAATCCACATTATAAATATCAAGATTTAATAAGAAAAATATTTGAATTACTTTTTTTTAAAAAAGAGGTACAGTCTTTTCCTCCAAATACCCAAGTTTTGTGTGTGTGTGTGTGTGTGTGTGTGCACACGCACACACACACTGATACTGGGGCTTGAACTCAGCTTGCCTCAGCTTTTTGCTCAAGGTTAGTGGTCTACCTACCATTTGAACCACAATTCTACTTCCAGTTTTTGCTGGCTAAGTGAAGATAAGAGTCTCATGGACTTTCCTGCCTAGGCTAGCTTCAAAGTAACATCCTCAGATCTCAGCTTTCTGAGAAGCTAGGATTACAGGCCTAAGTCATTAGTGCCCAGCATGGTACTCAGCATTTTTTAAGAACATTTTAGAAATCTTAGTGCCCAGTCTAAAACTTGGAGAAAGTGTCTATGGGCAGTCTCTGCAAAAGAGGAAGTTTGCTAAAGAATATATGGGGATGTTATATGTAGAGTTCATACAGATTTACTCATTGAGTTGCCTATTCATTAACCTTTAGCTACACAGTCCCTACATAAAGAAGAAATGTCACTGAACATTCTTTATAACGTACATAGATACCTGACTCCTTCATAAGCTGTATAACCTTGACTGTGATAACTTAATATAGATGGTGAAAGGAGTAACAGTAAATCCCTTTTCCACTTGTAGAACACATGCTTCATAGTTATCTGGTGTCCTTAAATTCCTACAGAACTTCTGCACCACATGAGACACTTTATGTGATAAATGATTGGGAATGTGGTGAAGGTCATGTGAAACATGTTATCAGTCTCTCTGGTCTCAACCTAGGTTTGATGGGGGGGCAGGGTAGTTAACTTTTAATGGAGTCACACTCCATTGCTTCTTTAAATTGTACATTCCCAATTAATATAATGTCACTTGCCTTTTGCTACTTACAGGATTAAAAAGAAAAGCTTGTGTGTCATTTATTTAGTCCCCTTCTAGTAAATTTTTCTCTCCCTCCCCTTTTTGCTTTTTTTTTTTTTGCGCTGGTATCAGGGCTTGAACCCAGTGCTTGGGCACTGTTCCTTAGCATTTTCACTTAAGGCTAGCACTCTACTACTACTTGAGCCACACCTTCAATTCAGCTTTTTTGGTGGTTAATTAGAGATAAGAGTCTCATGGATTTTCCTGCCCCAGCTGCCATGATCCTCACTCAGATCTCGGCCTCCTGAGTAGCTAAAATTACAGGCTTGAGTCACCAGCACCTGGCCTTAGTGTAATCAGCTGCTTCCACAACAACATAAAAGGCCTTCCTTTCAGAACACATTAACAAAGCCTCTGCTTTTCTTTTTGACCAGACTGCAAAGGTGACACTCTTGAGGGCTTATTGTGTTGTGCATTATTTGAAATGCAAATCTGCTAAATTTTCTGTGTGTATTGATGGTTGTTCCGCCGCAAGGTTGCAAGTACAGTGAGATGTGCTGCTGGGAACCACAACCCAGAGGTATCTTAGCTAGAGACATCCAGCCATAGCCACTCTAGCTCATTTTTATGAAACCCAATACTTAGCAGCTTTAGTGAAAGCTGCTCCTGGCTGCCTGGGTTTATTTTTGAAATTCCACTTTACTGAGTTATAATGCGCTTGTTCATAGCTCTCCTCTTTAGTCATTTCTTTCTGCCCCTTTCACACACACACCCTCGCTGCACATTTACAGCTTCTAGTGTGATTCCTGAATTTTAATTCCTTGCCCAAAATAGCTGGAGATGTTCATGTGTTGAAACTAAACTGTGCTGACAGGCATTAGAAACAATAAAAGGCTTTACTTTTTATATGATTTAAGTAAAGCATTGAGCATCTTTAAGAGAACTGAAAAGAACTCTGACTTAGAGAGGGGGAAGAAAGAGTGGAGGAGGCTGAGCTAAAACCTAGAGTGACTTGCTTCTTCCTTAATTTGGCTGTGAACCCGCCTCCAGTGCTCATGTCTAAGCTTAGTATGCTGGAATCTCCATCATCTTCCTCAAAAAAAGTTAAAATAGCACTCTGAAACATTTCTTCCATCACCTCCAAAATTAGTAAAAACGGGTTCGAAGTCCTTTTGTCCTCAGCATCCTTTTTGGCTTTATTCTTGATGACTGTCAGGCTATCAATGTTCTCAAATTAAGACACTCTGGTGCTGCTCATAAAGATGATTTCTTAAAACTCATCATTCTGCATTTCAGGGAGTTTTCAAATTTCCTGGCATCACCCCCAGCAGTTGTGGACTGAAAATCTTTACTTGGTAATCCTGCAGGTCAAATCCAAATGTCACCTTCGGCATTCGGATAATTCACACTTACTGAAGAGAGCACTCTGTCCAAGACAGAGTGTGAGCTTGTCACCCTGTCAAGATCTCATTAGCGATTTAGAGGTGGAAATTGCTTCAGGTCCCAGTTGTGCTTTGGATATGCTTAAGCAGGGAGACTGAGGAAGGTGGGGAGGGTGGAAGGAAGCTAATTGCAGCAGTCCCAATAGTCCTCTGTTATTTTTGTGTAGCTGCTGAATAACCTGCAACCACAAGTTCTCCCTCTGAGGCTGAAAAAGAGGCTAACTTGCCTGGTGCTGGTGGCTGGTGCCTATAATCCTACTTAGGAGGCTGAGAGATCTGAGGATTCAGATTCAAAGTGAGTTTGGCAAGAAAGTCTGTGAGACTCAAATTACCACTAAAGAGAGGGAGAGGGGGAGAGAGAGAGAGACAGAGAGACAGGAAGAGAGAGAGAGAGAGAGAGAGAGAGAAAGAGAGAGAGAGAGAGAGAGAGAGAGAAAAGCTGGAAGTAGAGTTATGGCTGAAGTGGTAGAGTTCCAGTCCTGAGCAAAAAAGCTAAGGGACAGAACTCAGGCCCTGAGTTCAAGCCCCACTATCAACATACACAAAAGAGGCTTATTTGTGTGCCCCTGGCTGAGGGAGTTTCTTATGTGCTGGCTCCTTCAGGGTGCCACTTTTCTGCTCACCATTTGTGTAGGCCCATTTTCCAGAAGAGGAAACTGAGTTGCGTAGAGTTAGGAACTTACCTCTGCCAAAGTCACACATCAACACACAGCTCCTACTCAGATCTCTTCCCCTCCATTGATTTTGTCTTTTGGTTTATTCAAATACCATGGTTTGAACTCAGGGTCTTTTGCTTGCTTGTTGTTTGCCTGGCTGGCACTCTACCACTTGAGCCATACCTCCAGCTTGGTTTTATGTAGCTCTGGTCTTCTGAATAAATGTCTCCTTATTGCTTGAGTTGACCAAGTCAGGCCAAAAAGTATGACCATAAAACGTGTTTGTTTGTTTTTTACTTCAGTCATGCCAGATTTTTTTTTTCCAGTACTGGGTTATGAACTCAGAGCCTCATGCTTGCTAGGCTGACATTCTACTGTTGAAGCATGCCTCCATCTCTTTTTTGCATGGGTTATATGTATAGGGTATCATTTCCTGCCTAGCATGTGTCATTACTGGGATGACAAGCACATACTATTTTGTCCAGTTTCCCTCTGTTGCCGTTTCTGACTAGGCTGGCCTTGAACCGCCATCCTCCTAATCTCAGCCTCCTGTAGTAGTTAAGGTTGCAGGTGTGAGCTACCAGTGCCTGGATATGCCAGATTTTACTTACCTTCACAGACAAGTTTTAATCACCCCAAATAAGTTGTTTAACAAATGATTTAGGGCACTTAGGAAAGTGAAATTCTCCTCAGTGATTTGCCACTGGTTATATACTTCTTCCCTTCCCCTTCCTTCTCTTCTTTTGTCTTTTCTTCTTAAAACAGGGTCTCAAATTTAGCCAAGGCAGGCCTTGAATTTTTAAGTCTTACTGCTTAGGCATTCTAAGTGCTGAATTTAAGTACTACCTGTCAATTTAGAACTCAAAAGAGTTCTAAAGCCAGGCACTGGTGGCTCACGCCTGTAATCCTAGCTACTCAGGAGGCTGAGATCTGAGGATCATGGTTCAAAGCCAGCCAGGGCAGGAAAGACCGTGAGACTCCTATCTCCAATAAACCACCAGAAAACCGGAAGTGGTGCTGTAGCTCAAGTGGTAGAGTGCTCGCCTTGAGCTGAAGAGCTGAGGGTTAGCGCCCAGGCCCAGAGTTCAAGCCCTATGACCGACCAAAAAAAAAAGAGTTCTAAATATGATGTTTGATTATGTTGCATAAAATGAAAATAATAACTATAATTTCCCAGGAGCTTGTACTCAAACGTATAAATACGTATGTTTTATTTAAAAAATGAAGACAAACCAAAAACTCAAAACACACACACACACACACACACACACACACACACACACACTCACACTCTTGTCGGAAACAGTGGCTATACTTGTGTATTGTAGACTTTCTAGTCTAGCTATAATTGTGACTTTTTAAAAAAAGAAAACCTTTGTAATATTATTAGATTTTGAAATTAAGGTTGGAACTTGAGAGTATTTCCTTCTTACCAAGTCTTTCAGCTTGACCTGTATGTCATTCTACAGAGTACAGAAAAGATGGCTTTAGAAAGGCCATCCAACAGAGGAGAGAAGCTAATTATTTCCATTTTTCGCAACTCAAGTTGCAGAAAGAAAACAGTCCTCGGAGAGGTGGCAGTTTCCTGTGTGATCAGAAAGAAGGCAACATCCGTCCCTTGCCCCACCAGGGTGCCCTCCGAGTGTCCCGGCCTGTGTCCATGTGGCCCTGCGTGGACACCGACTCGGTCGCATTTGAAGATCGGCCACTTTCCAAGCTGAAGGAGTCAGACAGGTGCTCGGCCAGTGAGAACCTCTACTTGGATGCCTTGTCCCTGGATGAGGAACCAGAGGAGCCGCCACCCTGTAGGCCTGAGAGGGAGTTCAGGAATTGCCTGCCTGAGGTCAGCCTGAGTTTTGTACATCTTGGTCACCCTCTCCAGAACAAGGGAACTGTCATTAGAACCAGCCAGTTCCTGGCAGAGCCATCTGGCAGGCTCTGTGACATCCTGTGAATTGTAAGAAAGCGAAGTCTTCTCACGGGGTCAGAGCCTCTAACCTTCCTGCGTTATCTGTGGCCAGTTTCCCTTTGCCACTTTGTTTTGGGCGTAGAAACACTGAACTAGTGTCCTGTGTAAGATCAAGCTCTCAAGACTGAGCATTTCCAGCACCACGCAGGAGGAAGTAGATAATTCTGGAAAGTGTATATTTTCGTTCTTGAAACTATAGTATATTGTTATTAATTTTCTAAACGTAATAACAAAATAATTTGTACTAAGGAAATTTCTTAACATTGGGAAATAGCAAATATTACTGAATAAACTCATATTAGTTTTATTCTGACAAATGGGTAGGGGACCAACAGTCAGAAGCTCCATATAAATTAGATATCAATTGGGTGAATTGAGCTAAGTTCTGAAATTTCCACAGCATGGTATGAGGTATTCATTTGGTATGGATGATATCATTTTATTTTTATAGCAATTTTTATTGTGATTAAGTGATTACATACATTTCACAAATTTTACAATATTGTGAGATAGTGATACTTAGAGTCACAAACACATTCTAATCTTCATGGGGCAAATTGTCTTTATCGTGGTCTATATGTTATATCATTTTCAAAGACAGGTCCTAGGGAACATTACCTATAGATCGAGTGTCCATTATTCAAAATGCTGGGACACAGAAGACTTTTAAACTTGGGGGTTTTGTGGAGTTTGGAATATAGTCATTTATATGCAGATGTGACCCAGGTCAAAACAAAAACCATTTGTGTCTCTTATATACTTAATATGCATTATTCATAATTTTGTTCATGAAACAAATGTCAGCACTGAAAGAGTCTCAGGTTTTGGAGTAGCTTGGATTTTGGAGTTTTGGATTATCTATAGCAGTGAGATCAAGTGCTTGTCCTCCACTCTACTTGTCAGATTGGAGGATATCATCATCTATAGGCCATTTCTGGTGGTCCAATGTCAGAGCAGAATGGACATAGGTCTGGGTGGGAACACTGTGTTCTGTTCCCAGTGTTAGTGACTAGGGCTGCCCAGAGGTGAGGGCATGCTCACCTATTAGTAGTACCCCCCTTCAGTATGGACTGTCCTGAGGATTATGGTTCCTTCGCTATCCAAGGCTTGCTTCTTCAAAACCTTATCAGTGCACAAGAATATTTTCTCAGTAGGCAAAATTTGTGTCCGTGTTCTCTGCCAGCACAGATTTCCGTCTCTTCTTCCTAGGGGAAATCACTAAGTGCCCAAGCCTAAAGATGTCACACTGACTCCCATATGCATATGTAGGAGAAGAGACATAATTTGTTACCATATTTATCTCCTTTTCCCCTGTTCCCATCTCCTTCTCCCTTTTCCTCTTCTTTTCCTCGCCAGCCCCCTCCCCTCCCCTGCCAACATTCAGGTCACAAGAAGCTAGTTCTGAAATCCATGCAGTGTAGAAGGCCTTTAGGGAAACATAGAAGTTCCTCCAGGACAAGGCAGCCTTTCTTACGCAGAAAGGCTTCTCCCTTGACTGCAGAAGCTCCAGCACCCCTCATCATGCTCTGGGCTCTGCTTCTATTGTTGTATTTCAAAGGATCTGGGGCAGGAGCACTGTTGACGAACACTTGGCTCAGTGTACATTTTCAATGGTGTCTTCTCAGGAGGGTGGAACAGAACTACTCATTTTAGCCTAGGCAAGGCTCCTAGACAGCCCAAATCAACTGATTCTGATGAGCTGATTTCTTCCTTACAGGATGAAGAAAATCATAAGGGAAATCTTCAAAGGTAAGTGTAATATGAAAATAGAGATTATATATATATTATATATATTAGAGATTATATATATTATAGATTATATATATAATATGAAGATAGAGAAAAATAAATGTGTCTTCCCATGGAGCATTTGTATATAGACACTTAAATAATTGTTTTTTTATTATTCAATTAATATGTATTTTTTTAGGATAAGCAGCAAAAAGCCTAACTACAGTTGTATGTATAAAGGACTGCTAAGTTCAGTGGGTTTTGAAAAGTCTGTGAGAAATCTCTCTTCATGTGAAGTTTGGAGAAATGCATTTTATACACTATAGATTTTAAAGTTCTAGTAGGAAGATTTCACTACAAGTTTTTCCTGACAGTAATCCCTCCCTGCAAAAATTGCATGGCGGCTGATCGTGCTGGTGTTGGTTACATACCAGTTTTCTTATTTCCAGTCTTGCTCTCTCTAGCTTTACTTCTTTACTCTAACTGAATACGTTTCCACTACTCAGGGATTTGCTGTTTCCACCACTCCTCGCCCCTGACTTTCTCATGAACGTGGAGTGTGTGAATGACTGTCTCTTGCCCATTCTGAACATCAGATCCATATAGCCCCTAGAGCTACCTGGTACTTTTCTGTCCCTCGCTCTGTCTTTCTCTGCTCATTCTCAGGTACTTAAAAGGCAACACCTGAGGGCTTAGGCTCCAGATGCTTCTGCTTCTCACTAGCCCCATTATGTTGCATTGGTTGGCAAACTGGTTTTGTTTTTGTTTTTGGTCATGAGGCCTGAACTTTGGGCCTGGGCTCTATCCCCCAGTTCTTCGGCTCAAGGCTAGCGTTCTACCAGTTGAACCACAGCACTACTTCCGGCTTTTTCTGTTTGTGTGGTGCTGAGGAATCGAACCCAGGGCCTCATGCATACAAGGCAAGCACTCTTCCACTGAGCCACTTTCCCAGCCCTGCTGAACTTTTCTGATGCTCAGTTTTCAGCTTACACATGATAATGCACATGTCCCTGATATAGGAGAATCAGTGAACAGTGATTAGCTTTTGTCCCCTACTCATGTCAGCAGCCTCAGTGTCTGGGTCAGGGTCAGGATTACCTTCCTTTACCACCCAGCCTCTGGCTTTGCTATTTCCAGTAAGAAACATCTTACTTAAGCTAGGTGCCATTCGCTTATGCTTGTAATTCTAACTAGTCAGAAGGTTGAGATCTGAGAATCACAGAAGCCATCTTGGGCAGGAAAGACCATAGACACTCTCTGTCTCTCTGTCTCTCTGTCTCTCTTTCTCTTTCCATATATACATATATACATATATATATATATATATATATATATATACACACATACACACACACACATACATACTGTACAGAGGGGTTACAGTTACATGAGAAAGGTAAGGAGTCCATTTCCTATTGAACATTGTTACCCCCTCCTTTGTTTTTCCCCTACCACTTTGCTCCCCACTTCCCTGGTCATAGATCTTTATCTCCAATTTACCCCTAAAAAACTGGAAGTGGAACTGTGGCTCCAGTGGTAACCTAGCCATGATGAGTAATACACTCACCATCTTACGTATGTACTGTAACCCCTTTGGACATCACCTTGACAATAAAATTAAATTTAGGGGGAAAAACCCCAAAACTAATGGACAGCTCCCAGGTCCTGATTTCAAACTCCAACACTGGCATCAAAACAACAACAGCAAAATACAAAAATATACTTATTTCTGTTAATTTCAAAAGTAATCCATGCTTGCTGTAAAGTGTAAGCAGCATCAAAATGTCTGAAATGGAAATGGGATGGTGCTTCCTGACCCCTTTCCCCTCTGTTTCTCACTATTGGGTAGGTTTCCTCCATACTTCTTGCTTCTGTATGTGCTTCCAATTCTTGTGGTCTTATTTTGTTTGCTTAGCCAATACTAAGGTAGAAGCCACTCTTTTCTCTGATATTTTCTGTACTGCTATGTCCAATTGAGTCCCAGAACATGAAGACCAAATCCATATCTGCCCCAGGTCCTGTGCACTAGTGGTCCAGTAGATGGCTTAGAGCAGAACCCCTATTCTGGCTTCCTCGTCATATACTTGATCTCAAACCTCTTTGGCAGTCCTGGGCTGGTGTAGAACCCTAGGAAGCTTCCCTTGGGAGGCAAGGGAAACATTAACATATCCCATAAGAAACTAGTCTTGTTTTGGAGGCAGTGAGTCTGTCCAACTACCCTCCCACCCGACTCCAACTGGAAGGCTCCAGGCCACAGTTTCTGTTCCCCAAGTTACTGGACATAGCCAGTCCCAAGTCTCCGTGCCGATCCCTTCTGTGGCCTAGTAGGTGGATAATCTGTCTGACACTTCAGCAGACCCCCAGCCTGACAGATATGCATCCTAGTACCTCTGTAGTGGCTGCAGGGCAGGGGTGCAGGGTGTAGGGAAATTCCATGAATTTCTGTTGAGATGAATCTATGGAACTGGTACTCACATTGAAGGAGTGGACACCCAAACCATGTGCATCAGGCAGCAGCTTAACATGCACTGCTTCTTGCTTTGGCTTATCTCTTTACCCTTTAGTTGTGCTCACATGTCTAGGGAAGATTTTCTCCTCTTTGGGACATAATGGAGGAGCACAAACAGCTACCCCAAAAGACTTGATCATAAAGAAGGCAGAGAAAGCAAGCTGTTGGTAAGTTTGGCAGAGCCAGATAGAGTTGTCTGAAATATTATTTGATACACTTCCTCCTTTCTCTCACATCTTCCAAGTGACCTTCCAAGCAGTAGTCCTGTAAGTGCATAGAGGACCAGGGCAAGGCTGGCCAAGTGAACAGAGACCTCAGATTGTAGCTCTGTGCCACATTCCCTCTTTCTGCTCACAATTTACTGTAGTGAGGGACACGGAATGTTCACATCCATCAGATGCTGGTAATTAGTAAGTCACAGTTGGCTGCAACGGAGCTACTCACCGGGCATGGAGAGCCAGGGCTCACCCAGGGGGAAGTGTGATGGCTGTGCAGCCCACCTTCTACTCATTTCCTCAGCAGTTGGGGGCTGACTGTATTAAATCCTCACCAATGCAAGCTGTAGGGGAATACCTGTAAGGGCCAGGTGGGGCTTCCTGGTGGCTACTGACACCCTCTGCTTTCGGCCTTTTTCAGAGCCATGTCTGTGTCCTGCATGTCTGAATTCCAGCGTCTCATGGATGTTTCTCCCTTCCTGCCTGAGAAGGGCCTGCCACCTGCCAGCAGCAAGGAGGATGTCACCCCACCCCTGTCTCCTGACGACCTGAAGTACATTGAGGAGTTCAACAGCAAGAGCTGGGACTATACACCCCCTAGGGCTGGGACTGACAGGCCTCAGGACCTCTGGGCAGATCGGACCGAGGTGGGGCGGGCAGGACACGAGGCCACAGCAGAGTCTTTCCCCGACTCCTCCTGGTATCTGACCACAAGTGTCACCATGACCACAGACACTATGACCAGCCCTGAGCACTGCCAGAAGCAGCCCCTGCGAAGCCACGTCCTCACTGAACAATCTGGGGTGCGAGTGTTGCACAGCCCACCCGCTGTCCGCAGGGTGGATACCATTGTGACAGCTGGCAGTGAGGGCCGGAGCCGGCTGGACCCTGAAGGTCCCTTTCCCACAGGCAGGGCCAGAGGGGGCCTGGGAGATGCCAGGGGGGGCCATCCTGAGCCCGGGCTCAGCAGGTGGCCTTGTGCTACCTCCAGACACCCCAGAGACTTCACGGAAGGGACTCTCCGGCCCCTTGATGGCCCCCTATGCCCCTCTCTAGGGTTTGCACCCCCACTGCACAGCCTGGATATGTCTAAGAACATGAGTGACGACATGAAGGAGGTGGCCTTCTCCGTCAGGAGTGCCATCTGCTCCGGTTCCACCGAGCCACAAGTCAGGGACATGGCCTGCCAGACCAATGGGTCCCGGACAGCAGGGACGCAGACCATCCAGAGCATCAGTGTGGGCCTGCAGACTGAAGCCCTGCGTGGCGGCGGCGTCACCAGCAGTCCCCACAAGTGTCTCACGCCAAAGGCCGGGGGCGGCACCACACCTGTGTCTTCTCCTTCCCGCAGCCTCAGGAACAGGCAGGTGGCCCCTGCCATCGAGAAGGTGCAGGCCAAGTTTGAACGCACCTGCTGCTCCCCCAAGTATGGTTCACCCAAGCTGCAGCGGAAACCCCTCTCCAAAGCAGAACAGCCAAACAGCCGGGCCTCACCAGGGTTGGTCCAGAAAGGGTACAGCGAGTCAGCCTGGGCCCGCTCCACCACCACAAGAGAGAGCCCTGTGCACACCACCATCAATGATGGCCTTTCTAGCCTCTTCAACATCATTGACCACAGCCCTGTGGTACAGGACCCCTTCCAGAAGGGGGTGAGGGCCGGGAGTCGGTCTCGCTCAGCTGAACCCCGACAAGAGTTAGGCCCGGGCCAGGAAACAGGCACCAGTTCCCGAGGACGATCACCTAGCCCCCTTGGGATGGGCTCAGAGATGTGCAGAGAGGACGGGGGAGAGGGCACACCAGTGAAGCAGGACTTGTCTGCTCCTCCTGGTTACACACTCACTGAGACTGTGGCCCGGATTCTCAACAAGAAGCTTCTGGAGCATGCCTTAAAGGAGGAGAGGAGGCAGGCCACCCATGGCCCTCCCAGTCTTACCAGTGACAGCCACACAGGAGACTCAGCCACGGCTGAGCCAGGGTCCATGGAGGTAAAGAATGCTGAATGGCCACACCCTTTCCCCCCAGCTCTTCATTTAGCTACTGGGCATGTGGATGAGACCCAGGGTGAAACCTGGGAAGTGATTTCAGGAGTCCCTGGAATCCATGACGGTTTACTGTACTCTGGGGAGGAGCAGGGTATACAGGAGAATGAGATAGGTCGAACCATGGATCCTAACACTTTGTGAAGACCAGTCATTTTCCTGTCCTCAGAAAAATCATGGAGGGCATGGTTTGATCCAGGCTTTCTGTCTTTTGGTATCTGGGCCTACACTTGGGGCATAGTGTACCCTCTTTCTGCATGACTAGGAGCATGAGAACACTAAGAGAATGTGCAAAGGGTGTGCATGAGAGTGAGTGTGAAAACAGCATGTGTTAAAAGTGTAAACTGATTATCTGAACACTGAAAAATGAGTGTGTGAAAGCTATGTGCAGTGAATGTATATGAAGAGCTGCATGTGTGAAGACTGAATGGAGTGTGAACTCTGAAAGCTAAGCAAGTGTGGAAACTGCATGTGTGAAATGAGTGTGTGAACACTGAAAAATGACTGTGAGGGCTGGGAAGGTGGCTCAGTGGTAGAGCGCTTGCCTTGCATGCATGAGGCCCTGGGTTCGATTCCTCAGCACCACATAAACAGAAAAAGCCGGAAGTGGCGCTGTGGGCTCAAGCGGTCTAGTGCTCGCCTTGAGCTGAAGAGCTGAGGGACAGCGCCTAGGCCCAGAGTTCAGGTCCACGACTGGCAAAAAAAAAAAAAAAAGAAAAAGAAAAGAAAAATGACTGAAAGCTATGTTCACCAGGCATATGTGAAGATGGAACTGAGTGTGAACACTGAAAGCTAAGCACGGGTGAAACAGCAGGCATGGAAACTGCATTGTGAAATGAGTATGTGTGAAAACCGTGAATGTGAGAAATGTGTAAGCGCTGAGTGTGTAAAAATTGCAGCTGTGTGTGTAAACTGCATGTGTCAGGTTTTGCATGTCACAGATCTCAAGTGGGATTATTGAAGGGAGCCAGAGAACATCTGGGCCACATCAGGAGCATGTGTCTCATGAGGAACTACTACTGTATTTGGCATGGACCCAGTGTTGGTATAAGCCAGCAGTCTGGCATCTTAGTCTCACCTTCATTTCAATGAATCCCCCTTGCATTAAAATCAGATGAAACAAATGGGCGCCATCAAAATCCGGCCTTTGTGCAGGATGATGCTGACTGTTCCCTTGACATCGTGCGAAAGTCAGTCATTCCCTGAGTTTTATCCATTGCGTATCCCCACACTGGTGTCATACCTCTGTGGAAAAACTTCCATTTCCACCTCCAGGATGAAGTCTGACGGTGGTGACAAATGAACAGCTGATGTTGGTCACCCAGGGAGGTGGCTTCCCTGTGCTGACTGGACAGTGCATGCCTATACACATGCCACCTTCCAGGAGCCCAGATGAGCCCGAGTCACATGAACATTGTCCAGGCCTGGGTGGGCCAGCTGACAGCCAGGGTCAGAAGAAGGCAGGACAGCAATAGGGCCACTGCTGGGCCACACTACTGCTTCCCTGTCACCCCTGAGCAGCCACGGCTTGAGCAGTAAGGAGGGAAAAAAAGGTGTATTCATGGGTCACCTGATCATACTTCCCATGGCATAAACATGGTGGGTAATGTTCCCAGTCCAACTTACCAAGGAATATTTAGCTCAGAATGCAGAGTTTCAATCTTAATTAGATCAAAGTATGTCAATTTGCCAATGGCATACCAATATGGTGATTCCATATGATTCTAGCTGATTCAAATATAGATGGTATACGGTCTACTGTCCCTAAGAGCTGAGCCTTAGTGATAAAGTCATTTACACCCTGTCTGAGCCAGACAGAAACGGCTAGGTAAGGCATTTCAGGTAACAACTGGAGACATCTTCGGTTACCCAAGTCCTGGGGAGCCCTCAGGTAAGTACAGATCATTTTGTATACAGTACACTACTTTTTTACACCTATGCAGAAATCAGTGAAAACTAGAGCTTTGTCCTAAAGCATTATTACCTGGCTGTGTCAATTTTTTTTTCAGCACTGGAGATTGAACCCAGGGTCTTTTTTGTGCAGGGCCCAAAGCCTTATGTGTATTGTATGTTTTAGGAACCAAACTTTCAGCCACTGAATGAGTTTTTCACAGTATGTGTAATGTAAAATAAATAGCTCAATGACACCACAGTGGTCTAAAGATGGTCATGTTCATGCAAAGCAGCATTGCTTTTGCCCTCGGCAGAGCATCACTGTACATTTTTTTTTTCTGTTGTGGGGCTTGAACTCTGGGCCTGGGCACTGTCCCTCAGCAATTCAGCTCAAGGCTAGCACTCTATCACTTGAGCCACAGCACACTTCTAGTTTTCTGAGTGGTTTATTGGAGATAAATGTCTCACAGACTTTCCTTGCCGGGGCTGGTTTTGAACGATGATCCTCAGATCTCAGCCTCCTGAGTAGCTAGGATTACAGGCATGAGCCACCGGCACCTGGCTTCACTTTACATTTTTGTCTCTCCTGTGTTTGCCAGCAGACAGTTTGGGGGCTCAGCACCTGCACAGACTTCCTGGCAATGTCTCAGTGCCATAGGCTTTTCCCTTTCCTGTCAAAAGCTAGCTTGTTCTAGATCCCAGCAGAATTACTTCGTTTGAACTGACTTTGTATATTAGGTTCCTTGAGAGGCACCTCGCTCCCACCCTCCATGAGACATCAACACTTCTAGCTCAGCTTTCCCAGCCTACGTTGTGTGGAATCCCTCCTAGACCTTTGCTCAGAGATCTTGAGCCCCAGGTAACGTGGGGGACAGGAAGTGTGCCTTCTGACTTCACTGTCATCTCACCAGCAAGGATGACATGGCCTAGTGTGGCATTGCAGAGAGCAGCTGTGTGTGAGGGGAAAGGGGTGCCACCTAAGGGGACATTATAGCACCAACAGTAGGAGTTCCATGGCTGTAAGTAGTGCAGCCCCTTTCCAGTACAGCAGTAGGGCTGCTCTCTTGCCATGCCTGGCAGAGACAAGTGCTCAGGGCATCTCAGGAAGCCTGGCAACAGCAAGGAGGTCCAGGGACTTCCTCACGGCTGTCTTCCCTCTGCAGCTGGTGGTGGAGGGCAGGCCGTGGCCTGAGCACTGAAGCCACCCTCCCACACTCCGTTTTCTCCTGGTGTCCCACTCTCTGTCACCACTCTTGATGTTAAACTTTGATTGCTCTCCTGTTTTTAAATACCCTTTCCAACCGGCTTGTTTTCTCTTCTTTCTGTCTGTCCAGAACCAAACTGTCTTACTAACTGCCCCGTGGGGACTCTAGTCCTGCCCACCTCACGCTGTAAGTGCCTCCTTCCTTCCAAGCTGTCCAGAGTCATGTGTGTAACTTGTCTGTCTTGTGCTTGGTGTCTGACATTCATCATCATCTTGGCACATTCTCTCCATGAAACCCTCTACATTGCCTCCAGGAGCAATCTGGCAAACCCAGACTCCTCCATTTGCCCTGCTCAGTGGTTGACTGCTTTGTGGGAAGATACTGTTGAGACTTCCTCCCTCCTGCAGTTTGCAGGGGTGTTGTCTGCATAGGGGTCTTGTCTGAGGGCATCTTATAGCCTTGTCTCTGCAGGCACCTAAGCTCCGACCACTCATCCACATTTAGGAATCATACGTACATTGCCAGATGCTGGAATTATGTTCTGAGACTTTGCTAGTTTTCTCAAGCATACCAGACAGAACAACTCCCAATGCATCTCATCTCAGATGAGACTATAGGTGACAGTTAAGTGACTGACAAATATTGGTCAAATGAATAAAGATCAAAGGCATCCCTTCTCTCAAACTCGAGAGCCTGAATTGAAGGATTCAGAAGGGTCTATTTGACTTCCCACCAAGGATAGGCACCATGTAATTCATCCACGGTCTTAACCCCCAAATTGAGTACAGCCTATGTAGTCAGCTATCTGATAAAATGTGTCCTTATGCACAAATGCAGAGGGTGTGGGAAGACCACTTCCAGACGAGCTGTGAGATCAGTACAGGCCATAGGCCCATGTGAGCCCTGCAAGGGCCTCTGGGGAAAGGCAGCATGGCTTGGTTATCTGTACAGGCAAATGCTAGTGACTTGGAGAGGGGTCCCCAGAAGCCCTTCCACCAAGTGGGGGTGGCAGCTAAATGAACTTGTAATGGCATTCTGATCAGTGCCCACCACCTATGCACACAACACTCAGCTCCACTTACAGTACTGTAAGAGAACACACACGTGCCCCAGGCGTGTGTCCTGTCACCCTGGCTTAGTTGGCACCTGTGGCGTGTTAGCCAGGGCTCCAGTCTGGTGCTCACTGTCCTATGCACATAAGTGCTTTGCTCAGACTCTGCTCCCATAGAGTGCCAACCCCACCCAACAGAGGCAGGGGCCCTGAAGGAACCATCTCCAGTGGCAACATCCCTCCTCCTGGCCACACAAGTCGTACCACCCTACCCCATCGCTCATCAGAAGCCTGTGGACCCATGCTGCTCTTAGGTTATACTGTACTTAATCATCTCCACACATCCTCTGCCATGACCCATCTTCCTAAATAGCATTGTTCACCCATGTAGTACTGTCATCTGTCTTTCCCGCCTTTCATTGTTCCCTGGCTCAGCTCTCAGTGGTCTTTTCCATCGCTTGCCATAACTCTCTAAATCCTCCAATTCACTTCCTGACTTTTGTGAGTCCTCATCCTCTGTCATTCCTGCTGTGCAGTAACTCTTGTCTTTCAGTTGTATGGTGCTCTACCATTGGAGCCACATCTCTGCTTTCAGCTTTTCGCTGGTTAATTGGAGTAAAAGTCTCACAGACTTTCCTGCCTGGGCTGGCTTCAAATCATGATTCCCAGATTTGAGTCTAGTGGCTAGAATTACAGGTGTCAGCCACTGGTGCCTGGTTTTGATGTTCTTTTAATTATAGGTGACTGGCATTGTGGCCAAGTGTGTCTCATATGATGAATGCTCAGAGCATTCAGGTGTCTGGAACATGGAATCACAAGTGCACTTGGATACCAATTTGTCAAAATGCTGCTATATTAAAGAATCACTAAAGAAAACTAGACCTCAATTAAAATTTCTGCCTGCAGCATTTTTTTTTTCATGTTGTGGGAGTTTGTTTAGCCTACTGCCAGTCAGCTTGGAATAAACAGTAGCAGAGTTCGTTGTAAGATGAGGCTTGTTGTGAATGTAGCTGACTGAAATCATAGTCTCTGTGAGCCTCTAATAGACTAAAGCCCTGCAGGACCAAAGGATCCTTCAAGAGACCCAGTGATGGCTCCGCTTAGGTGTGACTATGATGTGGTGGCCACAGTTGCTTGCCCTCTCTTGTATGTCCAGCCCAATTCTGGAGAAGTTCTGTGAGTAGGCCTATCTCACTGGTTTGCCGCATTCTGATAGTAATTTTTCCCATTCATATTCATTCATATTCAGAAGTCGCCCATAGTCTCTTCCATGTGACTTGCATCTGTTGGGACGTATGCTGGGAGAAATGATGCACTGGTGAGACTGCCCTGTCAGTAACACTATCTCCCCTTTCTTGACTCCAAAGGAACTACCTTGTTCTGCACTAGCACCATCCCTAGAGCCCTGCTTCTCCAGGCCCGAGAGACCAGCAAACCGTCGCCCTCCATCCCGGTGGGCTCCACCTCCCCCCACTGCCTCACAGTCTCAGTCACCCGGAGACCCAACACCCTTGGAGGAGCACCCTGACGAGGATCCAGCAGAGAAGCCACTCCCGTGACGCAAAGCTTGCATGGATTATCACAGAATAATTCACTGTGATTTGCATAACCACACCCTCAGCCCAAACTAAACTCTGCCCCAAAGGAGAGATGTGATTTTCTCAAGGTGGAAGAACGTTTTCAATGAACACACAGCTGCTGAATGTCCAACCCAGGAGACTCAGATGTTTCTAGAATGAAACAATAAATGTGCCTGTAATAACTTAATTTTTTTCATAGCTCAGAAAACTATTTTTGTCTCCATTTTTTACACCACAGTATATTAAATTAAAAGGTAAATAAGGTATAAATAGATTTAAAATATAAGAGTTTTTAAAAATGGACACTTTTAAGAGATACTGAGCACCCTTGCTGTCAGTCCTGACTGCCTCTCATATTTGCACTGTTCTGTTTTGATTGGGATTATCTCTATGTTGAATTTAGGATGTTTTAAGTTAATTTTATTTTGTCTGTGTTAATGATTTTGTTTTAGGAATTAAAAAAAAATGCTTCAGACTGTCTTATTTTGTTGTAGTGGAAAAGCCATGAAGCCAGTAGATCAGAGAGAGATTCTACAAGCTGGAGGGGTACAGGTCAACGGTTTTGAGAAGGTACAGAGTCCCCAAGTGGGCATAGAAAATTTGCTGTGTGGTCCACACCACCAGCTGCACGTCTTCGGGTGCATGTACATAACGCTGCACTGTCCTTGCGCTCACCCACCCGTGCACCGTCTGGTCCACTGTAACCCGTCGTGAAGTCCTCGTACTGTACTGTTACTGTTGGTCCCTTTGCATCGATGTAACAACAGCAACATTTTACAATTATTGTTCAAACATTAACTGGCAATGTACAGTGTTCACTCAACATTTTCTTTGTAAAGAAAAGCACTACAGGAATCCCGAGGATACCAATGGAGACAAACGGTGCCTCAGAGGGTCAGAGACCATGATGAAGTAGAAATAAAGCCTTTACAAGCCAGCAGCACAGTGTTGGGTCCTGTGTTTCATGTGGCCACTTTTCTGGGAAGCATTTTGTGGCTGAACGACTGAGAGAAAGGAGAGGCAGTGTGAGGAGGAAACAGGCAATGTGTCATAGGGCTGCACTATTTTTTTTTGGTGGGGGGGAGGTCCAGTCGTGGGGCCTGAACTCTGGGCCTGGGCACTGTCCCTCAGCTCTTCAGCTCAAGGCTAGTGCTCTAACACATGAGCCACCTTCCCAGCCCCAGGCTGCACTCGTGTGTGTACAATGAGGTCACTGTTTTACTAGACTCTATGGCAGGGTCATGGTAGAAATAAGCTTTATTCTCATCGCAAAACCCAAACTACAGAAGGACTGATAAGGTGCAAGGAAGCTGGTATCTGCTAGCCCAATGTGGGCAGTATCAGTTCTCTCCCTCAAGAAAGGGCATCTACCCAGATCATCATCAGTCAGGATGTGGGAAAGACACTTGCACGTCCATGTTCATTGCTGCACTATTCACAATAGCCAAGTTATGGGAACAGTCCAGATGCCCTACAACAGATGAGTGGATTACTGAAATGTGGCATGCATACAAAATGGAATTTTACTCATCCATTAGAATAAGATAATGCCATTTGCAGGGAAATGGATGGACCTAGAACAAATCATGTTAAGAGAAGTAATCCAAGCTCAGAGAGATAAATATTACATGTTTTCTTTCATACTTGGAAGTTAAAGCTGAAAGAAAACTGGACATGATAACCTATACAAGGCATCGCACACAGACTAAAAGAGGATACCCTTAGGGGAGGAGCACAAAGGTGTAACTTCTCTGAACATGTAAGATACCATCTATTGAAAGGAACTCCCGGAAATGGAAACATGTTTTTGTTGGTGGTGGTAGTGATGGTGTTTTGGTTTGGGGATTTTTCTTCTGGGGGATAAAAAGGAGGAAGGATGTGCAGAAAGGGAGGGAGGAAGTGTGAACAAATGCAATCATGTTATTCAGTATGCATGGGTGGGCAGGGACCGGAGAGGGAAACTGGAGCAAAACAAAGGAAAGAATGGCATTGTTCCAAAAAGGAAATATAAAGCCAAAGCCTAACTTTAATATTTCATGAATCCAACATTTCCTCCTTATCAAAATGAGCCTATGTAAGTTGGCTTCTTCCCAGTATTATCACAGCTGAACCTGTAAATAAATATTTCAAAGAACAAGTGTTGGTGAGAATACAAAGTGTAACCAACCCTGGGTTACAATTGGGTGGAGAGATTAAGTGGTGCAGCCAATGTGGAAGACAGCATAGTGGTTCCTCAAAAAGCTAAACGCACCAAATTATCAGAGGGTCCAACTATTCCACTGATGGTATGCGCGCAAGTCTGAAGTAAGGCATTCACACAGGCATTTGTACCCAAATGATCATGGTTTTATTATTCACAATAGCCAAAAGGTAGAAAGAGCCCAATAGCCATCAACTGGTGAATGGACAAATAAGATGTGGTGTATAATGTATGGATAACAGAATATTACCCAGACTTACAAAGGAAAGAAATTCTGATCCATGCTCTGATGTGGATGTGCATTGAAGACATCATGACAAGTGAAATAAGATAGTTATTGAATGGTCTCTAGGGGCTAAAGGGAGGGAGAGGTGAGCTTGTGTGTTATGAGGACAGAGTTCCAGGTGGGATGGTGAATCCTGGAAATGGAGAGTGACCATGGTGGCCCAGCAGCAAGCACTTGATGCCATTGAACCTCACCCTTGAAGATGGTTATGCTGTGTCATCTCTACCACAATAGAACCTTTTTAATAGAAAAAATACAGCTATAAACACCTCCTCAACAAATCAATATTTTGCAGGAATTGAGGATGTGGCTCAGTTGGTTTAGCATCTTGATGTCCTGGGTTCCATTCCCAGGATGACAACAAATTTTTATTTTGTGTCTACCCTGGGCTCATGGTAAATGCTAACAGTCAAGTCAGCATTCTTTCAGTTGGGAACAGTGAGCCAGCAAGGGGAGAATTCACTGGCTCTTATAACCAAAAGCTGCAAATGATGCCATCTGGATTCTGCTGCCTCCTGGCCTTGGTCTCCTCTGTGTTGTTTTACTCTCGGCCTCACTTCTCAATACTTGACAATAGTAGTCTCCAGCAGCTTCTATTAGCATAATGATTCCTCAAGGGAAAGGAGTCTCTTGCCAGGAACTTGAGCAAAAGCACAAGACTGATCCTCAGTGCTTTAGGTAAGTCCCATGTGGCCTTAAGCCAGCCAAAGTGACACACGGCAAGGACAAGTCAGGGAGGGTACCTGGAAGGCAGTGAAGATTGTATCCTACGGTGGGACTCACTACCCCAAGGGACAAGGAAAAGCTCTGGCCACTGGGGAACTTATATGATTAGGAGAGATAAAACTTGGAGGCACAGCCATGCACCAGTGGCTCACATCTGTAATCCTACCTGCTCAGGAAGCTGAGATCTGAGGATCACAGTTTGAAGCCAACCTAGGCAGGAAAGCTTTTAAGACTATCAGCCAAAAAAAAGCCAGAAGTAGAGCTGTGGCTCAAATGGAAAACCTCTAGCCATGAGCAAAAAGCTCAGAGACAGCACCCAGGCTCTGAGTTCAAGCCCTAGGACTAGCACGTGCACACACACACACACACACACACACACACACACACACACTCCCAAGTACACATAGAATTTAAAGATGATGTAGTAGAAATTCCCGGTGCAGGAGGCTTGGATTGATGCTGGCAGGGTAGGCATCTTTTCAGTGTGAAGTTGGAGAGGCAGGGGCGTCATTAAAAGCAGAGTCCAGCGGCTCAGGCTTATAATCCTAGTGCCTCAGGAGACTGAGGATGGCAGTTCAAAGCCAGCTTAGGTAGGAAAGGCCATGAGTCTCTTATCTTCCTTTAAGCACCCAAAAGCTAGAAGTGGAGCTGTGGCTCCTGTGGTAGAGTGCTAGCCTTGAGCAAAAAAGCTAAGGTAGAGCCCCAAGTCCTGAATGCAAGCCCCAGTCCTGGCACAGAAATAAATAAAAAGTAAGGCGTGGTCCAATGAGCAGTGGCATGCTAAGCTGGGCTGACACAGAACCTGTGTCATCAGGTGCCCTGGTGCTTTGCCAGCCCCTCTGGAACGGCTCCTCACACTTGAGTAGAGGAATTCTCCAGGCTTTTTATTGTGGAAACATTTGAACTTTCAAAGGCAAGGCAGGCCAGTAGCATGAAATTATTTTCCACTCTCCCTTCCAGATAAATGCCATCAGCCTTGTGGGCTTTATACGCCTGTGAAGACAGGGCAGCTGCCCGCAAGGGAAGGGCTCACAGGATCCTCCTGTTCATCTCTGTACCAGCCGCCATTCATGCCTTAGCTGCTTTTATGACCTAAAGAAATATGTAGCAGATTCCTGACTACTCAGCAGTTCTCCTGTGTGGGCATGGTGTGCCCTGCACGCCCCCTCCCCCCACCTCCCCTCCAGGGACTGGGCAGCATTGAGATGCTTCTTGTTCATTTGCAGTAAGAAAGGTGGTAGTTGCACATTCCACCCTCCTCTGCTTTTCCCTACCAGGAGGTAACTTGTATACTAAGGTTTTCAATATTTATGCCTCTGTCTTTATAGTTGGGCACATTATAATTCTAATTATTATTTTTTTTTTTTGTCGGTCATGAGGCCTGAACTCTGGGCCTGGGCACTGTCCCTCAGCTCTTGAGCTCAAGGCTAGCACTCTACCACTTGAGCCACAGCTCCAATTCCGGCTTTTTCTGCTTATGTGTGCGAAGGAATCGAACCTAGGGCCTCATGTATGCAAAGCAAACACTCTACTACTGAGCCAACTTCCCAACCCTCTAATTACTATTTGATACATGTTTTCACCCTTGTGTGTGTGTGTGTGTGTGTGTGTGTGTGTGTGTGTGTGTGCTTGTACTAGGGGCTTGAACTCAGAGCTTTGACTTATTTGCTCATGGCTGGTGTTCTATCATTTGCGCCACACTTCCATTTCCAACTTTTTTTTTGCTGGTTAATTGGAATAAGAGTCGTTCAAAAATGCCTGTCCTGGTTAGCTCTCAGCTCCAGTCTCAGCCTATTGAGCTGCTAGGATTATAGGCCTGAGTGACCAGTGCCCATATCCCAATTTTAGTTTTTAAAATTAGTTTTGAATATATTTAAGGCACACCACATGATATTTTGATAATGATTAATTGTAATAAAACAAATTACCATACTCATATGTCACATAGCAATGTCTCCCCCTATGTAGCAAGAATACCTAAATAAAATCTAGTATATTTTTCTTCCTAAACATGGCCTAAAACTCACTATAATGTAGCCCGTTTGTGCAAGCCTTGAACTCATTACCCTCTTGTCTCTTCCTCTTAAGTGCTGGTGTTATTGGTGTGTACTTCCAGGCCTGGGTGTAAAATTTAGTCATTTAGTAAAAACCTAAATAAGTGCAATGTCAAATATAATCTCTAGACTTTATTAAGCTTGACCAAGAGATGTATATTAATTTATTGTGTTCAAAAGCAACTGAAAAAATACGACTATAATTTGCTATTCTCTAATTCATTGCTTTAAAAATTGTGGTAAAATACACATAATGTATATTTCCCATTTGATCCATTTTAATGTGTCTGATTCAGTGACCCTTAGTATATTGACAATGCTGTGAAGTCACTACCTATTGTCTTCAAGATTGGTTTCATCAGCCTGAAGGAAACCCCATAGACATGACACTCACTCCCCGGCATCCCCTTCCCAAGTCTACTTTCTCTGTGGATTTGTTTACTTAGGAAATCTCTTGTGTCTGCCTATTTAGCATAAAGGCTCCAAGATTCTTTCATTTTATAGCATGTACAGGTACTTTTTTCTCTTTTATGGCTGGATAATATTCTACCATTTGATAAATTGTATTTTATTTATCTATTCAGCAGTTGATGTTGAAGGTCTATTTTTAAAATAAAAGTAAACCTTTGGTTACCTGCCTTTAAACAGCCTTGAGCATTCCCCTCCAGACACCA